ATTAATATACAATATATTGTATAATGTAGTTTCATATATTATATATTATCTTTCATAAATTAGTGCCTTATAGACTAAATGTTGTAAAAGCAAAATGTCTAGAATTTAAAATGAGCTTTGAGGAAGCATCTTATCTATCCTTATATTTCCTGAATGGATTCATTTAAACAGAAAATACTGATGCCTTAAATTATTTATCTAGCTTTCATATTTTTAATTTGCTTTTCAAATGTTAATCTGTTATTTTGGCATTTGAATCTAGTAAAAGTTCTCTCTCTTTTTTTTTTTCTCTCTCTCTCCCAATCTTAGGTGTTGGTTCTATCCCGTGTTTTACCACTTCATAGCAGTAATACACCCCCAACACATATAGAAAATACATCAAAAATCAATCCTTGTTTTGTATCTAGCAACATATATTCTACTCCTGAAAGGATTCTCCTAAGTTGGCTGAATACAAATTATGAGAATACCCGACACACTATATGGAATAACATCCCCAAAGGTGAGAATTTTTTTTTCTTTAAATAAATCATTGCAAACTGTAGTATAACAATACAGAAGAAGCCATGAGACAGGACTCAGAATCCATGGATTCTACACCTGACTCCAGTATTAATCTCTGGTGTGAAAAAGAAGATCTTCATCATCTTTAAGATCAGTTTCTTCACATGTAAAAAGGAAGGAAAAATAAAAGATACTTATTCAATTTATTTCCAAGAACACTTGATAAAAAGGATGTAGACATGTTCCAGAAATGAAAGATAGTATTAATATCATTGGTGGCATTTTCAACTATATAAATAATTAAATTTAGGTAACATTGTGCAAACTTTATAAATAATTGTTGTTGTTGTTATGTGTTGTTATGTTATGACCAGACTCATAGGGACCCCTCCTTCCAAGGCATTATCACTACGGAAGTAGATTGCCCAAACTTCTTTCTGAGGAGCGGCTGGTGGGTTTGAACTGCCAGCCTTCTGGTTAGCAGTTAAGTGCCTTAGGCACTATGCTACTGGAGCTCCTTATAAATAATTGATTGTTGTTATTGTTGTTATATGCCGTCGAGTCGGCCCCGACTCATAGCGACCCCTCCTTGGGTTTCCAAGGCAGTATCACTACGGAAGTAGGATTGCCCAACCTTCCTTCCGAGGATAATTAGTAGTTGAGATCAAATTGAAATCGGACTAAAATGAATCCTAAACATGGTCATGAAATTTTGGGGGAGGAGGCATGTTATGTTATGTTATGTTATGTTATGTTATGTCCATACACTAAGACAAGTAGGTGTCCACAGACAGACCACCTCCAGTATTTAAGTAGTTTTCCTTGGTTCTTCCCTCAAGGGATGAGGCTCTACCCTAAGAAACTGAGCTCTTTTTAAGGAAAGTTCCCGTTTGCAAATATAGCTGTGTGTTTTTTCTTCCTCATAAGTATTGATTGTGATGAGAAGAAGGAAAGTGTGAATGTTGCTTATTCCTTTAGCTTAATTCAGCCTCCCTCTTCTAAGTAAGGAGCTCTGGTGGTATAGTGTTTAAGGCATTTGACTTCTAACCAAAAGGTCGCTGATGGGGCAGCTTGCTTCCGTAAAAATTTACAGCATTGGAAACCCAATGGGGGTTGCTATGAGTCAGAATCGACTAGATGGCTTGAGCTTGGTTTGTTTTTTCTCCTAATTAGTCCTGGTGGCCCAACAGTTAAACTCTTGGCTTCTATCTGAAAGGTTGGTGGTTCCAACTCACTCAGTGGCTCAAAGGGAGACAGAGCTGGTGATCTGCTCCCATAAAGATTACAGCCTAGAAAACCCTATGGGCCAGTTCTACTCTGTTTCATGCTGTCACTATGAGTTATTCTAAGTATCTACAAGCTTATTGGGTCCAGATTGGATTTTGTTTTGACATATAATAATTAAGCTTTTTCATATATATGTATATGTATATATATATATATATATATATATATATATATATATATATCCCTCAGAATTTAATACAAGCTATAGAAGTACAGGGAAGGTGAAGAGTATAATTTAAAATGAGAATTTGCATTGCAATTGCTCCTAACCTGAAAGCATTACCTTAGAAAACATGTTGTTGTTGTTGTTATGTGCCGTTGAGTCGG